GTACTCAATTTCCTTTTGTTACCACCGGAGTAGCTTTTGATCTCCTTATCGATGTGTTTGGTGAAATTCAAATTACTGGCCAATCGAGCACTCATCGCTGAGATATCTTTACGGCGATAGCCACGCAATAACCCAAAGATTTCCAATGTTTGAGATCCTGTCAAATTGTCAAGTAGCGCATCGAATTGCGGACAGTATCCGATCATTTTATGCACTTCAGCTAAATGAGTTTTAAGGCTGAGCCCATTCACAAACACGTCTCCACTTGAAATTGGTGCATCACCCGTTATCATCTTGAACGTTGTTGTCTTACCCGCTCCATTGATACCAAGCAATCCAAAACATTCCGACCTGAATTGAAAAATAAAAAGTTGAGCTCATGTTTCGAATCAATTTCGGAAATAACCATTTCTGAACATAATTGGAAGAATCATAGAAAAACTTACCTTTTAACTGCAACGCTGATTCCTTTCACCGCCAAAAAATCTCCGTAGAACTTTGTAAGATTCTGCAAGACCAAATTGTGTGCTTGTAAATTCTCCCGAGTCATGGCGTTGACTTTGTTCTTCTCATTTATGACGTCGCCATCGATTGCATTGCTCACGAGTAAAAGTGGCGATGGTTGACTCGAGGGACGGCGAATGTAATGTCTAATGGTCGAAATGATTCGACATTCAATCATCCATAAAATGATGAAAAATACGATTGCTGTTATGGTCATGTACGTTAAACTGCGACCAATGCCAGGCTCATCCCAATCGTATATGTTTTCATCTGGAATATAATATTGGAAACAGCGTTAACATGAGTGATAAAATTTTCTCAACAAGATCGTGATCATCATCGCTTACCATATTCAGTTGGATCACAGGTAGCATTTTGGCTGACATCACTTATGTTTAATGTCCCATTTGTTGATGCCAATAGATGAGTATTGTTACTAGACAATAAATTTTTCAATCGTTCACACTCCAAGTGCCACACGTCGGCCTTAATTCTGAACTGATTCATGTTGAATAAGCTGTATCCCAACGCGTAATGTGGAAAAGCTAGGAATATCCACTTGAGTCCATCAGCCATTTTAGTTAAGTCCAATATCGGGAGCAACATAATGGTTATCAATTTGAAGAAGCTGGTTCCTGCAAATATCATGTTCCCACAATTGATTTAAAACGTATTCTTATTGGCTGCTAATACAAAATCAAAAATGAGTTTTACCAGTGAATACGAATGTGATGGCCAACGCAACGAACCCATACGAAGCATTTGAGAATAGAAACGATGCGACAAATGTGATGGCAAATGATGAAAGGCCAAAAGTGGTAAGAACTGCAATCAGAGGCCCGAGCTCGCTGGCTGTCGACCAATATTCTTCTTGGAATGACATCACCGTTACATAAAATACTGCCGAGGTTAAAATGTATGTTGCGAAGTCGAATAGGAATGATATCACCCAGAATGTTGATGCATCGACGCCACTTATGAATTGAAGTAACTTCGCTTTTGAGGCTCTTTCTCGAATGTAAAACATAATGTATAACGCCATGGTGAATGCCATTGCGAACGAAATGTATTTGGCCAACTGACTGCCCATGTCGTTTCCGTTCATTGTTAGAACAATCTTAGATTCCGGCCTGAATGGAATGGGATTGTTCGACACTTGAATACTGTAACCATCGCCCAGTTTGCTCCGCAAGAGTGCATTATGGAGTAGGTTGAGCGAAAGTGGCGCCGTATGAAACAATTGATTGTTGAACCAAGCAATGAATGAGTGGTTGTGATAAGACAAGCCAACCAAATGTCTGGTGTTTGTTCGAACTTTTATTTCATTTCCAAGTTTCAAGAAATGATGCTGAATATCCTCATCGAATTCGTCCAAAGTATGGCTTGCATTCTCCCGCAGTCTCTGGCGATATTGTGCAAATGTACTGAAAATGAATCCATTAGTAAAAATTATTCATATTTTCATCGTTAAATTGTCTTAATTTACCTATTGATTAAAGGATCGATTCGGTTCCCTTGTGGTGTTTGCACCATTGTCTCTGTTCTTTCGTAACGATTCAAAGATATATTCAGTTCTGGAAGATTATTGAAATCCTGTGCAACACGAACGAAAATTACACTAATTGCCGTGAAGAATATTATAAAAAAAATTTGCACCAAAAATAGTAGCCACGTATTTGTCCAGCAGTAGAACCGCTTTTTGAACATTGCAAACCATTGATTCATATGTAGCCAGAAGCCATTAAGTAATTCACTTTTCGACGCTTCGATATCAAATGAAACGTGATTGGAAATTTGACTAGGTCTTCTGTTATCACTCCCAACCTTAAGGAACACTTCTTCCAATTCCGTTGAAGAAACTCCGAAACGCTGCAGATTCAAGGCATCGAGTTCATTTTCCAATCGTTCAAACATTCTCGCAAACTTGTCTGACTGTTCATATGGCAAACCGTATGATATCTCTTCTGTATCCTCCTCCAATAGTTCAACGTTCGGAATGAATTCACGTAGAACTCTCGTAACCTCGCTCGAAACACAGTCTTCTTGCTTAGCGCAAATCAAGCGATAACCATCACCAAAGCGTTTCTTCAAGAAAAATGTAGTTCCACAACACTTCACCTCACCATCGGCCATTATTGCAATACGATCGGCGAGCACATCGGCTTCGTCCATGAAATGCGTCGTCAAAATGATCGTTCGACCCTTCTTCTCCGCTTGCAATAAATCCCACAGCTCTCTCCTCGCCGCCGGATCGACGCCACTAGTCGGCTCATCACACAAAACCACCTTGGAATCGGCACACAAAGCGATGATGAATGATAGCTTCCTTTGCATTCCTCCCGACAAAGCATGAGATGGAGTGTCAATCTTTGACTCTAAATTCAATATTCGTACATATTTCCTGAGCTCCTTGTCAACGGCGCTCCATTTTAATCCTTTCAGTCGACAATAGAATTCGATGTGTTCGCGAACAGTTAGTTCGTCAAATAGAATATCGTGTTGTGGACAGATACCGATCGACTTCCTTGCATTGTTGAGATCAGCTCGAATGTCATATTCATCTATGATCGCCGTGCCTGATGTCGGTGGAATCATTCCAGTTAAAATTTTCAAGGTCGTGCTCTTGCCAGCGCCATTATGACCGAGCAGCACAGTTATTTGATCACAGAACATATTGAATGTCACACCTTTGCAGGCCACTTTGCCGTTGTCGAAAATCTTTCTGAGATTTTTCACTCTCACACCAGCTACACAATCAGTGGGCTCAGGTTCGAAATTTTCGTGTATTATTTGTTCCTGGTGATTGTCAGAACACTCTTCCGATTTCGAGCCGCTTTCCTTGCCAAACCAAAATTCCTTTTTGAATGCAAAGTTGCAATCTTCAGGCACGCCATATTCGCCAGGGAATACCTTTTCAACGTAGAGCGCTATCAAGAGAAACACAGCCGACGTCATTAGCATGAAAGAAATTGTGGTTCCAATTGTGAAATTGTTCTCAATTATTGGATAGCTCCAGAAGTTTGTCCATTGCAATCCTTCACCGGAGCGCTCGAACTCGATGATTGATTTGCATCCGTAAGCCATAGCCACATTTGGCGAAATACAGGAAAGCAGTTGCACTATAAATGGTACTTTGACCTGATTTATTGTCAGAAAAATGTACGGCATATGTGAAACAAACCACATAAGTCCCGATACAGCTGCAGCAGTATTTGCTTTTGAAAAGAGGACGCTGAGCATGAAGCAATAAGTTGTCATCGCGATGGAATAGACAAGCAAAAATACCCAAATTGTAAACCAATTTGAGTTTGTGAACACAGCAACAGATGAGTCATACATTGGTATCTGAAAGAAAATGATTGGTTTTTGGTTTAAGTAATGCTTATACTTTCAATTCATTGAATTAATAATTCCAAATTAAGGTTTTTACTCGCCCTAATGATAGCTAGTATGCCAACGAAGCATGACAGCAGTTAGTGCGAGTGTGACAAAATTTGACACCGCCAATATCTCAGCCGTTCTTCGAAATTACCTTCAGTAAACCGATCATCAATGTGATTGAAACGATCATAAAAATCATGGTGCGCACAAACCAACTGGTCCAATGCAACCAAACGGGCATTCCCATGATTTTCATCACCTCTTTCAGCTGCTTCTCCCTCTCGACGGCGATGAATCTTACGGTGCCAATTATAGGATACACAAAACTTAACATGATGAACAAGCCAACGGCATCTGTCAAACCGTTCAGAAGAATGTCATTTAAATAAGGTGGATACGGGAATCTTTGCATTTCAATGCTTGGTATGGAGATATTGCCGACACATGTCTTTAGTTCAATACATCGATTTATTGTGTAAGACCATGCAATTGCATTTTGAATGGCCAAGAATCCATCCGAATAGTAGAAAGGATCACCTCCTTCATTTGATGTCTTCACACGTGGTCCACCGCCAGACAATAGTGGGTACAATAAATTCGTCTGCCAACTAAAAGCTGTTAATTTATCATTGGTTTCAGTGCGCAATTCACTTGGAAAGCGCAAAGCATATACTAAATTCTGTGGAAGCTCCGTAATATTCTGTAAATTGACATATTTTTTCGATTATTTTCAGTTTTGTTTTCATTTAATGTAAAAATTAGCGGAAGCAAGTAAAAGAAGGTGTTTCAAAGAATATTACCGCTGAATGATCGAATACAACGCCGGCTAAAAACTCTCGTTCTATCATCAATCTCTCAACTTCCTCTGAACTATTTACACCATATATAACGGTAAAATTGAAACGTATGCTCGCTAATTGAAGTAAATCCTCAAACACCTTATTCTTCGGTGAATAAACTAAGCCCCATTCTCTTAAGTGAATATCACGGCACGTGTTTGTCTCACTAAATACAAACCAAAAGTTAGTTGACAAATTTTTTCATACGCATATTGCTACTATAAAATTTTATAGTTTTATATCTTTAAAGATACGGTCGTTTAATTGCGTTCATTGTCAATTCGATATGAAACGGTCGTCGCGTAACGTTCGCATTATTATTTATGATGTCATTCGGGTTAAATTCAGCTACAACTAAACGAATGATTAAATACTCTGAGAAAAGAGATTTATGTTTATGTTATACTTTTTGTTTTGACACTTATTTCACAACAAGAACTTGAAAACTTTGTGGTGATTTTCGGTACTAAATATATTTTTTCCGCTGAAGCACCACAAAGTTTTTTTGACTTTGTAGTGAAAAAAAAGTTAGAAATATTTTTGGTACCAGAAATCACCACAAAGTTTTCAAGTTCTTGTTGTGAAATAAGGGTCAAAACAAAAAGTATAACATAACCATAAATCTCTTTTCTCAGAGTATGCATATGACATCATGAATGTCTCTATGCTTGTTGGGAATACGAAACGATTGCGACGACCATTTGGTGCATCAAATTATCAATTGAAAACTATGGAAATAAATACGCAATTCCCAAGAAAGTTTCAGTCATTCATAAGTACTCACAGTGATGGGAGCTCGCTGATATTGAACGAATCGAATTTAGTGTTTTCTGTGTTGATTTCAGGCTTAACCATAATTCGTATCAAAATTAAATTGGCCGTAAACAAAATCGGAATCAGAATTTGGATAATTGTTTGTACTTTATGTCGATATTGGAGCAAAAAATTCTTCCACATCAACAGTCGAAATTTATCAAAAATATTGGCGGTTTTTCGTTCACATTCTTCAATTCGCTCGTGTATATAAACGCCATTATCTGATGGGTGGAAGCTAACGTTAAACGTGCGAGTGTCGTCAGTTTCATTATCTATAATTGTGAAATTATGATTAAAATTGTGAAAAACTAACGATAAAAAAACGACACAAAAAAACAAAAAAAAAATGTTTTGTGAATATTACCGGTGAAAAATCGCTGTATCCAATTATAAATCACACCACGAAATTGCATGTTGTTCAGTTTTAGAACTGTGAACAAAAACAATGAACTTAAACTTGAAATATTTGCACGATACCACTTGAAACTGTTGTGGTTAACTAAATGTGTATTGGTTTGATAGCTCCAGCGATCTGACTCAGAACCAATCGCTCAGACAGCTGACTTTATACTGTACCGAACTACACGATTTGTACATACGTAAAGTGAAACTGTCAAGAACTGTTTTTATCAAATTAACTTATTAATATTCTTTTTTATCAATTCGACGAATTAAATAAATGAATAAATAACAGAAAATCATCGATAAACTAGTGCAATGGTAACATCATCTAATTTATTGTTTTAAATTGATTTCCTGAATAGTTGGGTTTTACCAAGAAATGAAATGAAACTAATGCTGATGGTAAAAAACCCATGCAGCTGGATATTGAAATAACGTAAATTATTCAGAAATATATGTACCCATGTATAATAATTATGTGCAAAACTAATTTTCCATTGGAAATGGAGCAAAAATGGCGAACTACTCAACTAAAAAACAATTTTTTCAAAAGCATAAAGCAAAACGACAACTAGGTCAAAGCCGGTCAAATGCCGAAATCAATACACACTGATAGACAACGCACGATTTAAAGCTCAATAAAGAAGAAAAAGCCGAAACCTTAGCAAGTTGCTAATAGCAACACACCTTGAAAATTTGCGCATACTCACTCAATCAGTATTACGTCAGTTATAGAATCAACAGTTAATGCTCCTTTTAATTTCGACAACACACGCAATTCACTGTTGATATGCCAGCTAATAGTAAAGGTTTATCAAATTTCATAGTCCAAACACAAAATGCAAAAAAGTATATCTATAAGTATAGTGTAGCACAAGGCACTTGAAATGACTATAAAAGGAATTTCAACCGAGTTAACATTTTTATGCCGCCGAACGATAAATAAACGTAGAAAAAGATATAAAATCACTTGTCAATCTAAAGTGGAATCATCGATAAGGTATCTTCTCGACAATATCTTATCTATAAATATTATTTATTTAATTTACCTGAAATGAGATGGATAGTCGATGGAAGATGTGCCGAAGTGATTTCGATTTGGGCGATTTTAATTGTAGATTTTATGTAGTATAGTGTAGTGTTTCGAGATAAGTCATGGAAATTGGTCAAAAATTGATAGCACTCAAATCTTGGCCACAAATTAAACTTTCCATGAACTGAATCTTCCTCTATTGTTACTAGGTTCCATAAAATTGTAGAAAAAATGTAGAATTCAAATCAGTCACCCGATTCTTGATGTTTTCAACGATTCATTTGACTTCTCATCGACACGCGTCACCAGAATTTCGGCTGGTACACAGTATTGTAACCAGTTGCGGCTTTGATCATACATTCGTTGATGTGAATACGGTTTACCAGTTACAACGTGTGCGCATAGCGCGCGATCCAAGACGACACATCACTTCGCAAGAAGTCGGGCGCTTCGCACACACGTTGTAACTGGTAAACCGTGTTCAGACTAAATATGACATAAACAATCGTACACACGAGCCAGAACATGCTTTGATGCATGTTCGCATCACCAATGTATGACCGAAGCTGCAACTGGTGAAATGTGCTGTGTACCAGCCGATTAACTGGTGACGTGCATCGCTGAGTACAACAGTGTTTTTACTTTTTTACGGGAGAAAAACTGCTCCAAAATTATTTTAGTAGTTTTAGTGGCCCTAAAATAATTGTAGAAGCATTTAGGATTATCAACATTCAGATTTAAAATGCATATTTTGATAATTTTCTTGAATTTGAATGTTTTTAATGATTTTATTCAATCCGGCTTATTTGATATTTCTTCAAAGAGTAATCCAATTTTGAAGTTTTTATGATTATATACATAAAGAATAAGAGATATTTTATTTCTTAAGATTACATAAAGATAATAGAAGTTCTATTAAAATAAACAAATCTTCCAATAAAAATGACAAAACGGTCAATAAAATTGACATTGCTTTCAATAAAATTGCCATATTGAGACAATATTTTTTGACTAAACAAAATTGAAACATAAATCTGACACATAGTAAAGCAATAAGATCATACTTGAATCTTAAATCGAATTGAGTTTGACTTGGTTTAAGTTGAAAGTTCTTAATTATAATCGTTTTGCGTTTGCTCATCATACGGTTTTGTAAACGATAAGAATACTTGTTCAAGCGTAGCTTGGCTTATCGAATAATCTTCGAATCCAAGAAGACTTTTGGCTGATTCTACACGATCAAACATTGAAGACCATTTCAAATCACGGGTTTGTGGCACATAATAAGTCAGAAGACCTTGATATTTTTCCCTGTAAAAACATACCATCAAAATTTTTGCACTTTGGTTCAATCGTTTTTTCGTAACTTACTTCAAATAAGCGCCTTGGAAGTTATTATGGATGAAATAATTGATTCGAGTTTGAACTACGTCTGAGTTCACTGATGTTGACGTAGAATTTCCTTTCGATTTGGATTTATTATAAATTGTAAGCAAATATCCTTTGGAGAATTGATTTTTGAGATGTTGCGCAGAACCTATGCATTTAAATTCTCCGTTCACCATAATAGCTAAGCGGGTGCACAGCGCTTCACACTCTTCCATGCTGTGCGAAGTTAACACAATCGATGTACCTGAATTACAAGCCTGTGATACAGCGCTCCATAGATTGCGTTTTGCACCTGGATCCATGCCTGAGCTTGGCTCATCTATCAAACGAAAGAGAATTCCAAAGTATTATCTCTCTCAATAGAAAATCGATGATTATTGCAAAGATACCTAAATAGGCAACGCTTGGATTGCCCAACAAGGCGATAGC